TTGCGGCTGTGTACTTCGTGTACTTTTATCGATATAGAATGTAAAAATAGGGCCAGGTCTCCAAGACGGGTCAAAGGGGACTTCGTACGATATTTTCTAAATCAAAGGGGACCTTGTTTTGAAATTTTCCTGGTGCCAGCTCATGCTGAGCCCTGGGTCAGACCGAACAATTTGGCCATTCGATGCAGCATAAAAAGCTGACTAATCTGTCTTATCTGCTTATCTTTTGTGTGAGCGAAGCTATGCACAGTTTTATTGCGAAAACCCCATATAAGTCTGCAAAATTGAGCACATACAGGCTGCTCTCTCAGCCTTAAGTTCTGTCTTCCCGACCCACCTGTCTTCCTAAATCCAATTAACATTTTTTGCGCCCTGCATTTTCATTTTCACGGCGCGATTCTATCTCGCACATTTTTTTTTGCAAAAGTTCATGAAACTTGTTTTGTTGCTGAAAAACAGAATTTCCCAAATTTCTGGCACTTGCCTTTTTGGTTGATGTTTGCGCTGATTTTCCACTTCCTTTTGTGATTTTATGCTTCTAAATGTTATCCTTTTTTTTCAGCACAACGGTGTCATTGATAGCATGGGAAGAGCATGGGAAATTGAAGATGTTGTACTCGAGAAGGGAACAACCGGATTAGGTTTTTCGATTACTGGAGGTAAGTGCGATGTTAATGCTTTTAGCTGCTTTCTTTCAGGTTTCAAATGAAATATATATCGATTGATTTTCCAGGTACTGATCAGCCAGCTGAAGATGGTGACACCTCCATTTATGTTACGAATATAATAATGGGTGGTGCGGCAGCTGCTGATGGAAGAATGAAGTAGGTTTAGTTCTAGAATTTTCGCTATTTGTGGTTTTTCTTACTAAAAATGTTGATCCGACGTAGATGCTGCTTTCTTTGAGTAATCCCATTTCAGGAAATTCGATAAGATCTTGAAAGTGAATAACACTGACTGCGTGAATGTGCCGCATGAGGTTGCTGTGAATGCTCTGAAAACGGCAGGGAATGTTGTAAAACTGGTCAGTCAGCTCTTCTTTTCCAAATATTAAAGATACTGAATTTTACCGATCATTTTTAGACCTTGAAACGACGTCGCGAAGACATGAGTCTCCCCATCGAACGCGCACCCTTAGGGTCTGGTAGTCATCTGAATAGAAGCGATCTCACATCGTCTATGGGAGCCCTCAACGTTTCTCGAGGATTTGAGGGGTGAGCCATCTTTGATTTTGATTTCAATTACTGAATTTTATTGATTTTTTCCATTCTAAAAATTTCTTGGAGCAGAATAGTATTGAATTTTTTGTAGGCCAAATCTATCACCAAGTGTCCCGGCTTATCCGCCACCACCTCCACCTGCTCATAGTGGATCGCAAACTCATTTGCATCAAGTCCAACAACTACCTGTAGGATTGAGCTCACGCGCAAGAATGGCTCAAACCATTGACCTTTACAAGGTATGAGTATAAGCCTGCGATCATTTTATTGTTTTACAGATTTTTTTATCATCTATCCGTAAGTTTGAGCAGATAATTTCTAAGTATAATTTTTCAAGCTTTGAATACCTGATTTTACTTACCCTAAAATTTCACAGATAAGTCCTCCCGTCAAATAAGTCCGCCA